TGGATTTTGGTGAAGATAGAGAGACTCGTCCTCGATGAGAACGAGGTCGTTGGGATACGTGTTTACGCCTGGGCCAAGCTATTCAAATCATGGGCATCTTTGAGATGGTCCGATATCCAGGCGATCAAGCCCATCGAGCTTCGGCTCGAGGAGGGCCGGCTATTCACGATACTCCGTCGGACCAAGACATCAGGTCCGAACCGGAGGATAAAGGGGCTGCCGGTTTGTGTTAGCGAAGTGGCATTCTATGAGGATGCCCGCTGGATATCGGTAGGATTCAACCTGCTAAAGGAGAACGCCAGCTACAAGAGGGATTACCTCTTGCCTAGGTTAACAATGGACCGCAAGATGGCGAGCTATGCTGACGCTGTGGTGGCCACCGCGGCGGTCCTCGCTAGGATAGGCATCCCCACGGCGGTCCAAGGATATTGGACAGAGCACTCAGAGAGATCGATATTGCCGACGGCCTTGGCAATATTGGGTGTCACAGACTCTGAGAAAGATATCCTGGGGAGATGGAAGCCCGAAGGCTCGGATACCTATGTCCGATCCCACGGTGGAAGGGTGGCTAGATTGCAGTCCAGATATGCAGCCGCTGCTCGAGAGGATAGCCACTACTCTGTGCTGGACGAGAGAGAGATAGCGGCCAACCTCCTGGATTGGCTGCAAGATAGGAGAAAGCTGGGCGAGGAGGCCTCCAAAGCTATCGTAGACCCCCTGGTCCACATGTGGAAGACGGGGCGGATATTTGCTGATCTAGTTCCAGTGATCCCTGAAGTGGAGGACAACCCTCCAGAAGAGAAGGGCGAGGACAGCGAAGATAGCCAGGGGCCCGAGCCTGCTAGTTTTTCTAAGGTTGCTAAGACTGTGGACCGTTCGGCCAGGTATGTGATAGTGGAGCTGCCAGGAGCAATTTTTCGGCTACATCGAGCTGGTGCCAATGGTTGTTGGATGGGGAGAAAGAGGGAATTTGAGATTTCTCCAATATGCCGGATAGAACGGAGTACACGCATGTTTGCCGCCTCTGTTGGCCGGATGGCCAGTTTGATAGCGATGATAATCCTAGTGATGCCTCTCCAGCGGGGTCTGGAGACGAACCTGAGATGCAGGATATGCCGGAGACCCAGAATGGTCTCAGACGGAGTCCGTCTCTGGGGGCTGGGCAGGCTACGACGATAGTTGGCAGCCGATCGGCTCCGGATAGAGATGGCACAAAGCGTGGTTGATAAATCGAGTGCTGGATATTTTTCCTTGTTTGGCTTGGCTTGATTTTCCTTGATTGCCTTGCTAACTTGATATGCATGTGGCTCACTTGGCACTCGGATACCGCGTTTTGAGAAGCATGCTTGAGAGGAGAGAGTCGGAGAGGGCGCCTCCCCTTTTTCTTTTCGCCCGGGAAACCAGAGAAGGAGAGAATCGGAGAGGGCGCGACAGTGACATGTTTGGCTATGCTTGCGGTGTATTACTATGCTACTCTGTCTTATTACAGGGCGCTGCTACCTAGCGAGTTAGCTATTCATGTCGGAGTGCTCGGAGTGCGCACGGTGTATATTGCTATCAGGGCTATCTGCTACCTAGCAGGATGGCTACTCTGAAGGGCGGCAGAAAGCAGGACTACTTGAAAGTCTCTGTCTTGCTATGCTACTAGATCTGCTACCTAGCGTGATGGGATATCCGAAGCTTGGGGACCAAGCTTGAAAAAGAGTTGTGTGGTAGGATTGTGGGGCGCCCACCCCCGAAAGTGGGTGATCTCTTTCGATATCCGCTATGTCTGCTTCTGATAACACCAGTGTTATCGATGCTACAAGGACAATGCTAAGAGCGCTGGAGGATAATTCTGAGGGCCTGGAGGCCATCTGGAGAGGAGCGGCTACAAAGGACCAGCTCCAGGACATGATAAACTTGCTAGAGTTGGCGCAGGTGTCAACGGCGGGGAAGCGCCATATGCAAGAGGCGGCGCAGCTAGCAGCAGAGAGGGAGGCTGCGACCAAGGCGGGGGCCAAGGCTAGCTTCCCACATGCTAGCCCGAGAGGGACCAACAAGGTCCCAGCTGCTAGCTCCAAGAGACAAGCTACACCGAGGCGGAGAGATGTGACACCACCGCCCAGTTTCTGGGCGGATGTGGTCGATACACCTGCGGAGCGTGAGACAGAGCCGCAGTGGATGCTGGATATGGCCAAGCGCACCTTGGCCGAGCAGATGGCTAAGCTGAGAGAGAAACAGGATAGGAAGCGGGAGGAGCTCCAGGCTACAACGGAGAGACAGCTGATAGACGTTTCCGTCAGGAGACGCCCGCGGATACCCGCCAGGAGAGTGATGAACTGGAGAGTGCCGATACAGATGGGGGCTGGCCCGCTCTGGAGGCTAAGCGCCCCAACTTTCTGAGACCGAGGGGCCGTGCCCCCACGATAGGGTCCCAGGAGCAGGAGACCCAGCTAGCTCGTCTACAACCGCTACCACAGCTAGGCGCGAGCCAACCCCCACGGGGGCGTGGACGCGTGAGACAAGTGTGAGAAGGAGAGATAGAGTCCCCCTGAAAATTTCAGAGAGGTTTTTTTCGAGATGATAAAGGGAGAGTCGATATGAGCTATCGCCGCTACCCGACGTCAGAGCTACCACCTGGACACCGTCGGGGGCGACCAGCTAAATGGGATAGGCAAGGGTATTCACCTGGAGAATATCCGAGATGATGCGCTAGTGGCTAACCCGGTCTTCGGGAATGCACTAATGCCGCTAGTGCCCGAGATCGGCTATGTGAGATGCCACTCTGGCGAGATGACTGGGAGAGGCCGCTGGGACGCTAAAAACGAGATCTTCAGATGTGTGATATTGTGCCCAAAGTGCGAGGGCGATAGCTGTAATCAGCGGATGTGGACCGTGTTTGAGCAGCACGGGTCCCACCGCTGTAAAACTTGCCACCGCGAAGACGGTGGCGAGTATACAGACTGATAGTCGATATTTTGCTACTTGATATAGCTATGAGCTAGCTATTCGTACAGTGCTTGAGATAGCCTAGGCCACGCTAGACGGTATCCGATTTGTGGGGTGAGGATACAGTCTAGCTGAGGCCGCCACGGAGAGGTGGTGTGAAAAAGAGAGATGGCCGATAGCCTCTGCGCAGACATGCTTACTGGCTATTCCTGGACAGAGGGATAGTGGTTTGAGATGTTCCGGATATACCGAAATTTGTTTGCTTGAGACTCCGCTTCGAAAACTAGAGAGAGAGAGAGAAGAAGAGAGAAGGGTCTTTGGGGTATCCAGACCCTTCCTCTCCGGCTACTTCGTTAAATGGGGGTATCCAGACCCCCTCTCTCTTTGTCTCTCGTTTCTTTTCTTCTCCAGTGATCTTTGATATTCGGATATGCGGTATATGGGGGTATCCAGACCCCTTCTCTTCATCTTTCAGCTATTCCGAGAATTTTGACTCAAGCTTGATTCAGAAGTGATTCAGGGGCCCATGGCGCTCTCCTTGGCGGAGAAGCTAGCGAAGGGGTCGTCGGACCTGAGATTTTTGCTAACCAACCATGGGGTCAAGGACGACCACCAGGGTAAGCTTTACGATAGTGGAATCGATACGCTAGCCAAGTTTGCTGCTTTTGTTACAACGGCTAGGGAGCTAGCCGATCTGCTAAAGTCTGAGTTCTCGCTAGATCCAACCGAGTCACTGGATAAGAGAGCCCAGGTCGCTAGCTATACGGTAGCTTGGCAAGCAGCACAGACCCGGGTTAAGGCCCAGGCAGATGCGGAGGCGAGCAACGAGATTCGAGATTTGGCGAAGCCGATACCGGTTTCGGACTAGATGGCTATGAGGCAGTCTTTCTCCAAGACCTTTGGGGAGCTAGAGGATAAATATATTCCTTCAAAGGAGTATATTGAGAAAAAGCTAAATGAGCTGGAGTCGGAGTGAAGTGGTCGGACGGGACGAGGTCGACCCTGATACCTTGCTACCGGCCTGGGATAGCAAGGGCCACATCACCGTGAAGAAGGCCTCCTCCACGGTCGCTATGCCCACCGGGCCCGAGCAGTTGAGACATAGGATAACAGTGATGTTCAACGCCCTGGCTATGATCTAACTGCGCCATGTCAACAGGATAGAGCTATCCGACGTGACTTCGGATATCTTCGATAAACACAAGGATTATCTCCTTGGAGATTANNGTATGGGCTACGATCTGCTGAAGGCGTGGGCAGTGCTATTCCACCATGGACCCTGGTCCTGGGCTATGATCACGCTATCAGAAAGCTAGCATACAAGCTAGTTAGCTCATTCCGGAGGCGCTAAGGAGCTAGAGAAGGAAGCCTTTCGCATGGCGACGGGAGGCGAAGAAGGATGCCGGCTCCTGAGGAACCAGTCCTATATTGCGGATATTGTGATAGCCCTGTGAGTTGCGACGGGCTATCCGAGGTTGCCCCTGGGCAGCCGCTGAGACTGAAGCTGATAAGGGCGTTACTTCAAGCGGCGGATGATCCGGACAGAGATTTCCTGCTACAAGCGGAGAAGGGGCTGCCGGTAGGGATATTGCATCCGCTACCTCGGACACCTCATGTCTTCGAAGAGCAGACAAAGTGGCCCCTGGATAGAGAACCCTGGGAGCCGGGGCCAGTTTGGGTCCCGAACTATGGCTCAACCCAGGACCACAGAGACTTTGCTAAGGATAAGTTCGAAGAAGAAGTTAGAGAGGGCATGATGGAGATTAAGATGTCCATGGAGGCGTTTGTGGACCGATACGGCGAGAATAGAGCGATAGCTGCTTTGGCCGTGATAGTCGAGGATGAGGACAAGGGGAAGAAGAGACTGATACACGACGCCACCCACGGTGTCAGAGTGAACCATAGGATAAGATGCCGGGATAAGATCAGGGCGCCTGGTGCACGCGAGACCTTGGGCCATCTCAGTAGCCGACACATGTCCTGCAGAGACTTTATCACGTAGCCACTCTATCAGCCACCTGGGTCTCTCCGTGAGGCCGAGTCGGTAGCTAGCGTACTCGGTCTCCATTCCCAGCCACTCGACTCGATAGCCCCCACGGGTCTTAGCCCACTTGAAGGGGTAGCCCATAGCAGAGAGATAGCTGTAGCTGAGGATGATGCCAATGCGGCCTCTCCGAGTGGTAGTTAGGCATTCCAAATCGTCCGCGCGCAGGAGCATATCGAGAGGGCACGGGCCTATCAAGTGGTAGGTGGCCCTGCTGCAGCTATCCTCGTCCACCAACAGCTAGCACAATTCACTCCGAAAGTGCCAACCTTGTTGACATAGACGATGTTATCCTCTCCAGGTATCCCTAGCTGGCAACCGAGAAAGCCTTGCTCATCTTCACTATGCTTGAATCTCCGGTGGGCCTTGGATATATCGCCCACTATCGAGAAGGCAACTTCTCCTCTCTCCATCGTCCTCCGCTATCCAGGGGAAGCCAGGCTTGATGAAGATACCCACGATGTTGAGAGTCCTCTTTTCGTGGCTTGCTGCTCGTTTTGCTCAGGGAGATAGACTCCAAAGACCCCTGAGACGACCGAGAAGGGAGCCTCCTGTCTCCTTTTTCACAGATGCTAAGGCCGAGGACGGGAAAGCGTGGATAGGAGGATTCCTGAAAATATCCCCGGGGCGTCTGGGTCCCTGGTTCTCGCTAGAAGTTGAGAAATCGTGGGCTCCATGGGCCTTTGCTAAGTCCTCCCCCAACAAGGTGATAGCGGCTCTGGAGCTACTCGCTACTCTGGTAGCGATCAAGATATGGGTTCCCACGTCGGAACGGAGGCAGGCCACGAGGATGGCTATCAGAGGCTACACCGATAATCAATCGAACGAGGCTCTGATAAAACGCTACATGACAACCAAGTTCCCTCCGTGCTTGGTGCTCATGGAGATGGCGGAGGAGCTTTCCTCCAAGAGATGTGATATGCACCTCACCTGGATACGTCGAGATTTGAACCAAGTTCGATAGTTTCGAGGCCAGGCTCCGAATTCCCCTAAAGGGGGAGGAGCTGAAATGGCTTGTGCTCGATAAGCTGTTG